GAACAAGGTTGGCCAAGTAACTGCAAAGCCAAACGTTGAATGATTGGAGAAAAAGCTCCATAAACAATCCACCATTTCACCGATTGCATACGACCTCTATCGATTAAAGAATCCGCATTTGAAAAATGGTCAATTCCACCTGAAAAAGCGGCATACTCTTCTCTAGCATGCATTCTATCCAAATCATTAGGAAAGAGTCGCTCAAAGCATTTTTGCCTTTGTAATGTAATGCCTTGATCTTGATGCGGAGCAACACGATTTGGAACAAGCCATTCAGTAGTATAATACCTAAAAGTGATGAAATAATATAAATTAAAACATTATAATGACTAAAGCAACAAAATGAATGTACTAAAAACTTTAAAGAAAGTTACCTTGGATTCAAAGAATGTGCAAGGCAATGGAGTGGAGTGTTGCTTTTGGTCCATCTTTGCAATAAAACCTCATTCACCGCATTAAAAAATTCTGAATCTTCATAAAGTTGCTTGCCTTCTTTTTTATAAATAGCCACCTTCACATCTCCTATCATAGAATCCCACCATTCATAAACCAAGTGAAGACAAGGCATATCCGTATCACACTTTCTAAGCATGTCATAAATGGGATATGTAAAACTAAGTATGTAATCAATTTTAGACCAAAGTACATCATCCAATATTTTCTCTTTGATACATTTTGCTTTTTCAACATTATCTTCTTGATATGCATCCCATTCCTCACTAACCACCATTCTTTGTAATTCAACCTTTATTTCCCTATATCTCCTCATCATCACAATTATGGAAGCAAAGCGGGTATCGGCAATTGAAAGAAACTTCAACTTTGAATGATGATTAAACATGGCCAATCTCATTTGGTGGTTCATGATGTAGTTTTTCACTGCCCAACACTCATCAGCAACATCACTAATCCAAATGCATTGACCCCACACATCATTATTGGGACTTGCCTTCGGTGTGCAAATGTTCTTCAAAGCAAGGTTTAATGTGTGCACAACACATGGAGTCCAAAAAATGTGACTATATTTGGCTTCAATAATTTGCCCCGCCGCTTTGCAAGCACTTGCATTGTCGGTGATTACTTGAACCACATTTTGTGGACCAATTTCACGAATGCACTCATCAAGCAAGTTAGCAATGAATGATGCATTTTTTGTCTCACCTTCACAATTGATAGCCTTCAAGAACATAGGCCCACTATCACAAGTCGCCATCATATTGATAAGAGGTCTTCTTTGTGAATCCGACCATCCATCACTACACAAGCTTACACCCTTTACTTTCCATGCATTCTTTATCGGCTCTAATTTCATCTCAATGTGACTCCTCTCTTTTTGGAGAAGTGTAGTCCTCAATGCATTATAACCCGGAGGGCGATAACCCGGAACGGTGAGAGAACAAGCCTTAGAAAAGGCTTGGACATAGTATGGGTTCCTTGCAAGGTTGAATGACA